AAATATTACCTGTAATACGATTATAAGGAGGATTTTACAGTCATTGCTGTGAAAGATTTCGGATCAAGCGCTAGGTCAGAAATGCAGGCCTTCCTAAGAAAATCACTCTTTCATACAGCTTTGATTCAATTTTGTATGTCTTTATATTTATTGCACAAACATTTTCTAGGAATATAATCCGCCTTCATATAAGTAAATAAGTATTTTCGAGATACTGTGTAGTAAATAGCCTTGGAGAATTGCATGTGTGAAAAGTAGAAATCAAGTAGAAATTGAATTTGCTATTGACTGATGAATGTTTGCAGATGAAAGTCTTCCAAATTAGAGCTTATTAGTGCCGAAGGTATTGTTAATTGCATGGGAAGCATATGTCCCTTGAAAGTAATTTAATGTTTTAAACATGTTTTCTTCAGTGTTTTCTCTAAACTGTTATAAGTGAAATTAATACCATGGTAAACGGAAAGATATGATAGAGACTTAAAAACCTACATGTAAAGAAAAGCTTAAGTGCTTGGGATTTAGCTCAGTGGCACAGTGCCTGCCTGGCAAGCTCAAGGTCCTGAGTTAGATTCTGGATACAAAAAAGAAAAAGTATGGCCTTTTTGGTCCACATGCACTTTGCTTTATTGGGTGAGATTCCTGTATTTCAGGTGTATCCTTTTTTTCCCAAAAGTATCATTCCCTCATTGTGTCCTAGACCCCATTTGACTTTGTGGCAGTAAGCATTAGACAGAAAACCTAAGTTATTTACATGAATATGTGCCATTAGTGGATCCCACAGGAAGCTGAGACATTGTCCCCAGTGACATTGCACTAAGGTTATTGAGCCTGAAAAAAGTCATTCCAGATACTCCTTACATTTTTATCTATGAGCTGAATGATCTCCTCCAAAACATAAAGAGAAATTTACTTTTTAATGTTTACATTTTGATAAAATATATGTTTTTACAGTCTACACCTCTTATATAAATGCAGTCATTCATTATTTAGATCTTTCATTTGATAAATGCTTAGTTGTGCTTTAATCTAATCTCATTGCTCTCTTTCTTTGCCAATCAGAATTATGGCTGAGATTTTTGAAAAAGGAATTTTAACACACCTACATACACACGCACACATGTGTGCACACACATGCGTGCACAAACATTCCTTTGCTGTTGGCATCCTCTGTCCGCAGATGTCATGCTCCTTGGCCACTCTTGGCCATGTGTGGTCTTCTCCTGTGTTCTAACTCACCTGCCACTCACTTGTCAAGGTGGGCCCCATACTTCTGTCGCTCACTTTCCCAAAGCCCTAAGGCAAGTGCCAAGCTCAGCATGTGCCTCATCCTTGTTGCCGCTGCCTCTGCTAACCTGGCCCTGTTTCCAGCGACTGCCCTTTCTCCTCACCCCACTGCCACTACTGTCTTGGTTCTTGCTTGCCCATTGCTTAGGTTCCCTGGTGGCTTTCTCTTCCTCTGTGTGCCTCTTAAATGCACATGGCTCCAGAACTCTGCCTGTGGACCCTGTCAGGCTGTGTGTGTTCCTGAATAAGGAGCTGGGTGGTAGGAGCAGGATGCCCGTGAGTCCTGGCATTGAGGAATTTATGTCTAAGGTGGAAGGGAGGAGCATGGGTGGGATGGGAGAAGGAATACATAAGAGGCAGTTTCCAAGTCACTTGGGTTGTATCTTGGGAGGGGGACCCTGGACAGAGGATAGTCATTGCCACAGATACTGACGGTCAGGTCAGGCAGTGGCATCCAGGTTGCGTTGTTCTAATTAACCAGGTGGAGAGAAGACTGGAGAGTACTCCAGATGGAGGGGACTGTGCCAGTGGGGATGTGACAGCTCGTGACATTGGGTGTTCTGGCAGAGATCCAACTAGCAGACAGCAGGTAGGAAGGGCAATGTGGTGGATCATAGCCCGAGAGACCAATGTTCCTCATGGATGTGTGAAACCATATTATGGTGTCTGTTAGACTTAAAGGCAGTGAGAATTTCTGGTATATTAAATTAAAATGATAAGCATGAATCATTCTAGAAAAATCACCCATTAGAAGACTAGCCTGAGAAATAAGGGACAGAAGTAGAAAAAATTAGGAAATAGTAGAGAAGCCATAGTCACTTCCTCAAGGCAGTGGGCGTGGTAACAGGGAGAGGCACTCAGGCTGCAGAGAAAGGAAACAGGACTGTCTCTAAGGGAGAGGGAGAGTTCTGGCTCCAGGGAATAGGTGGGGGGTCATGAGTGACATAGAACAGGTTTGTGATAGGAAGTCCCTTGGGGAAGCCAGATTGTTGTGCTACAGCTGGGGGCCCTGTTAGTAGGCCGTGAGGCAGGAGCAACAGGGCCCAAGACCTGCATTCTCTACATTCCATCCCTTATGCATCCTCTTTCCTCCTGTTTGTCTGTTTGTCTTCCACTTCAGCTGCTAGGATGATCTTTCTCAACACAGTTCAGAGTGCTTCAGGGATCACCCCTGCCCCACAGCCTATCGCTGTGGCTTTATCGGTCACTGTCTGCCATGTACTTGTGCTCTGTCCTCTGCACTGCCATTGAATCCTTTGTCCAGACAAAATGATAGCAGGCCACTAGCGGGCTTGGCAGATGCCCACGGAGGGTCTTTGCTCTCACTCTTCCTCGTGCCTGAATGCACCTGCCACACCATCAGCCTGCAGCCTCAAGGCAGAACTCATCTCTGTAAAAGATGTAAAAGATTCCTGGCCCTGTACTAGGGCTGCTTTATCAATTGTCTCTGCCCCTGCGCACACTCACAATTCCTCTCTTATATAATCTTCTGTAGCTTCAAATGCATGTATCTTTTGTCTCCTCTAACTCATTATGACCTCCTTGTGAGCAGACACCAAAGTTCACTTACATTCCTAGCCCCCGCCACACTGCCTAGCACACAATGACCTTCAATCACTTCTTGTTAATTAAGCAAGTAAAGAGGAGTGTTTATTTTTATGGAAATGCTCTCTTGCCAGTTTTCTCTGTCTCTCTTTCCCTTCTCCTTGATCATCATAATAGAATCATGGCCAGTAGCAGTTGTACTCTTGCCGCATGTATTTCTTGATGGGCAGCTTGCTAACTTATATAATATTTGTAGCTGTGTACTAATAAGCTTTTGTAGCTGTGTGCTAATAAAAGCCGTGGATGTAATTGAATCACCCCACACTTGGACAGGCACAGAACTCAAGGAGAAATTGCAAATTGGAGCCTCCCACAGTGTGAGGAGTAAAATCTGGAGGCATAACATGATTTTAGACTTCTGAGTCTTATTTACTCTGGGCATAATTGCTCTTCCTTTTAGAGACGCTTCCCT